TCAAGCAAACCATCCTGGAGCAGCTAAAAGAACAGAAGATACTTCTTGAAAGAAAGACTGACAGGAAAAATAAAAAACAATAAAAGAGGCATCAAGGCACATGGTCAGGTCCCCTCAGGGCAAACCCCATTCCAAGACTAAGACTCCAAGGGAATAAACGAACAGACATGAAGTCTGACTGGTGACCACATTGGTCACCAATAAGGGGAAGTGAGGGAAAAACAGCAATGAAGCTGTGAGCTAAGTCCTACCATGTTCAATAGATTCTGGTGAACCCGGGTGGAGACCTGGTTGGCCAGCAGTATAGCAAGACGTGGGGACTCCTGGGCCCAGAGTCAGTGACATAACCACAGAGTACTAGAGTGAAGAGTGAAGCATCCAGCTGATAAGAAGAGAAAGCATATGCATAAGAACACCCACAGTTGCAGATAATACCCACTTGACCTGGCTTCAATGGCTGGATGATCAAAACTCAACTAGAAGAAGAAAGAAGAGGAAAAAAAGAGTAATCCGATACAATGTGATGAATTTAAGCTACACCTATGGATTCAGTAGCTCAAAAGAGGGAACAAATCTTTACAGTGAGGATCATTCCCACCCCCTCCATACACAGAGTAGACAGGGATGGGTCACTTGAACATTGACTACCCAAAATGGAGGGGCTACAAAGGCAAGAAGTGACTGGCTTACAAGCTTTCAAGAGGGAGCCTAGATTCAGAGGTTGGAAGGTAGAATCTCCACTGAGTAGTATACAATCTATCTAGGCGGGGCTGATGAAGGGAGATGGGGATAAGACTCTTATGGTACAATAGTGAATAACTGCTATCAGGACTGACTGTGAGGGTTGGAAATGTAAAGGTAGATGTTTTGTAGCAAAACTAGGGTAGTGGTTGACTTTGCAGTCCAGGAGCGTAGGTCCCTGAGACCATCAAGAGAGAAGAGCGGAGCTCTAAACCCCACCTAGAGAAAGTGACACCAGAGATTGAGGCAGAGAAGATGAGGTAGAGAGATGGATCGGCTGAGGACTCTGGACCCAGAGAGGGAGAAGGGCTGTGTGCTGACAACCGAGAGGCAGGCTTGCAGGGTTATTTGATGGTGCATGGAGGGGATTGTAATCATGGGAATGAAACAATATACAATAGGATAAATGTAAAGCTAATATTCTCCCATGTAAATGATCACATAAATCACAATAAAACATTAAAAAAAAAAAAAAAAAGCATGGGATAGCTGATGTATTCATGTAAGGACGCAGTTGCTGTAAACCACGTTCATTTTTAGTGTCTTTGCCTGTAAGAAATG